ATAACATAACATAATTAAGATGGATTACCCTTGACAAACAACAAATTGTAATCATATGGTATTGAAAAGATGGGTACAGTGGGTGTCAAAAGTCTTAAAACATAGCAATGTTTCAAAATCCCAAACACAATGACATGAACTAAATGTTATATATCATGTGCTTGTACAACCAACATGTCTAATTATAACATCACACTGTATCAAACTTCAAAAACATGATCATATTTACAATCACATCTATCTACTTGGCATAGTTACTATCTCAAAAATCTGAATGAAATGAAAAGACTTCATGACAACGATGAATCGGAACAACACACTTAAGTCTTTTTCCTGTAAAGAAAGATAGTTCATTGTTTCGATAATCCCACCATTCATGTGCATCTGCATTGTTATTAATAACATCAACTTCAACCCATTGATTCTGAATGAGAACCCAAAGACCCCACATACGATCTCCATTTAGACAAGAAAAAATCCCAATTTTCCCTCAAATTTTATTAGCCTCAAAGTATACGACATATAATGTATATGTGTATACGGTGAAAATATGATTACATATTCTTCAGAATATGCATCAAATCGCAATATTTGATAGTTTGACAGTAAGATGTAAACTACACCTTTACTTATGATTGCTTCATCCGATACAGGATGAACAGAAGATGGTAACCGAATATTACCAAGGTCCCTCCATTCCCATGTAGTTGAGTGAAATAATTATACTCAGAAGTTTTCATAACCATGATCCTTTGTCAAGTCGCTACAACAACAAAAAAAAACATAAAAGTTATACAACCAACTAAAACAAATAGTTAAATAATAATAGTAAAACAGGCTTACGATGGCTTTGCATATGATAAACGAATGATCTTGAAATGCAACGGGTTCGAACGCATAACCACCATAGCAAACTTAACCGCAATGTACTTATAAATTGTAAATGGTAATGTTTTGTTATCTAAAGTCGTTGGCTTACAGACAAATAAAAACTTTGTTTGATATTCATCTGGATTATCACATTCACCAAGAATGAGTCCGTTCAATGAAGTTGCTAAAATTGTACACGCTTTTGGTAGACAACCAATGTCAAAATTATTCGCACCACACGACGGAACAAACTGACGCTCTATCGTTCCCCATGGTTTTTTTGTTGAACAATAATTCCATGAAGCACATTATTTTTTCGCTTGTAAAGATCAACAGCATGGTTGTTGTAAGTTAGTTTTTCAATACGTTTACTTGTACAACGTATAATATGGAATGTCTTTAATGATGTTCTTGAAAGAATTTCAATAAACACGTCAGTCTCCAATAATGCTAGCTGTAAAACAATCAAAATAATCATATAATGAACAAACATAAAGTAAAATTAAATGTTTAAAATACATATAACATATGAATGCTAAAAAAAGGTACATGAAAGTATAAAATTACAAAAATGACGTCTAGGGTAAGCTAAAAAATCGAATGCCAATATCGATAACAATCAAGTCCATCACATATTTATTATATACATTACCAAGAACATCTTCACACTACAAGGTAACAATGTAAAACCAATCAATTTATCATAACGAAGCAAACAATATTTCATAAAAAAATAACATATAAGATAGTAATATAACAATCACGGTGCAAGTATAACAAAATAAATTAATCAAACTTTATACCAAATTATAAGAATGGGTAAAAATCCCAGTAATATGATAGAAATAAGGTGAAATTGAAAAAAACAACAAATTAATTGAGTATATCTTTCACTATATATAGTCTACTTTACGTGTTTTATCCATAATAGCATAATACTTTGCTTTTATTCGTTAAAATGATAACTTTGTTGCATTTATTCTTTGCTTTTATTGCTTAAAATGATAACTATGTTGCAATTATTCTTAAAAATGAGAAATAAATTGTTAATATTGGTGATCCTTTTCTGCAAATGGACAAACTTTGACAAAAAAAAAACAATTTGTATATCTCATATCCTTACAAATTTAGCCAAAGAAGAGTATACAAATGTTGTACATTAATGAAAAGGAAACATCTAAGCAAAGGGGGAAAATATGTAGTTTAGTCAGTATATGTATAAGCTAAAGTAATTGACATTAAGTAAAATCGAATGGTATAAAAAAAACCATTATAAGTACAATGCTATTATACGGAAAGTGTAATGACCATTATGCCCCCTCCCCCACCCCACCCTATTTGTACATCTCTTTAATAATTGGAATTCACAAAAACTTAACATTCGGGTTGTTAGATTTGACAGCCATGGACCAAGATTACAAAACTGGAGCATAAGGACCAAAAGTCAAACCAAGCACTAAAATTCAAGTAACGGGTAATCATCCAGACTTGAAGGCTAATGTACATAAAATGAGTATATAACCTAATACAAAGTACCGTTATATAACATTTACATTCAGAGATGTAAAAATCACACCAAAGAGCACAACGCGCAACAAAAATAGAAGAAGAAGACTAAAAAATAATCCAAATTTGCTATTGACTTAAACATAATTGAAAAAGATACCTTCGTGTGGAGTTGTGTTTGATGATTGATTTCATATCCTTAAGTATCCTCTATTGTTGATTGTAGGAAACAAAGAAAATGATGTAACAGAGCTGTAGAATAAAAAAATCGGTATAATCTTAAAGAAATAGAAAACTTATGTAGATAGGGCAGAAAAAACAATTAAGATCGTGATGGAGAATATGTACAAACATCATTGTGAGAAAAACGTGGATAAGTGCTTGATTGCGGTTAAAAAAACCGCATGTACCAACTACCTGGTAATCTCATGTCTGCAAAAAATAACCAATATTGCCCTCTACTGATTTTATTTTCAATAAATTACAATTTCAGTCAAATAAAATATGTAATTGAATATGAACCAGATTATTTGTCAAAATCATGTATGTAATTGAATTCAATAAAAAGTGATTGATTATTACTAAATGTGACAACCCGAAATTTCTATCTTGTACAACCATTCAATTCAATCAAATTCAGACTAGTTTCTGCTATCTTTTAGCATTGTTAAGAGTCTGTTTGAGAGTTTCTGAGCCCAGTGTAATGTATGAATGAATGTTGAGATTAGTTAGCTTGAGATCGAGAGGTTAAATTCGAACCAGAAAATAACTCATAAGGTGTTCACGGCCGCAAACTAGGTTCACGGCCGTGAACCACC